AGCTGACTCACTAGTGTGCAGAGATGTGCATGAAACTGGGTTTAATGCACAGTTGTCTGTCAGCACATGGGGTGCTTGACTGTTAACATCATTTCCCTGTTTCTTGTTCAGTGCTTTTCCTGTCCATCAGCAACATGTGACAGAGGCCTAATTGGATTAATTCAGCAATTAAGATGTGAGGCAATGTACCAAGTGCTACCCTCAAGCACAGATACAGGCTATTAAAACCAAGTATTTTGTTTATGATGTATACAAATATTTTGGCATTGGCAAGTTGTATTAAATAGGATTTCCGAGCTAGGAGATCTCTAGTAGAAAGTCTATAAATCAAGGATAATTCTTCTGTTCCAAGAAAGATCCATCATGATGACAGCAAATAGACTGATGCTTAACACAACCCCTGCAATCTGTACGACCGATTACTTAGACAAGGAACCCCATGGATGCACACTTTGACTTTTACATCCACCTCCCAACCCAGCACAGAATGAGACGAAAGAATACATGGAAAACCACACACTTATGAAGTCTCTTTCATTGAAGCAACACAGCACATACAATTGACATAGGTTGTGCTTCACATTACGGATGGGATGCCGAACAGAAGAACCAGAACTCAAACTGGTTTAAACACATTACTTACAAGACTTGGTCTATTTTCCCTTTCTCCTCCCACTTACTTCCAATGCGAGGGCAAGTCAGGAACTTGTTCAAAGTTTTGGACTTTATCAGATAGGACTTAAAAATCAGTCAACAGTAATGTTTAGTACCTAACTGGTTGGGATAGGAGAAAAGTGAAGTGAACCTGTGTTTTCTCTACTGCACAGGTATTTTATGGTAGAACATTTATATTGTGTTTTAAACTACAGACTTATTAACGTCATATTTTAAAAGAGTAAACTAAAAGAAATAACTCCCTAATCAAGATTTGGTAAATTAGGTCGACATACAACTAAAAATTACTCTAGCAATGACTTTTCCTATGTTGTATTTGATAATATACTCCTGACAAAGGGCCAGTATCTAGTTGTTTGCACAGCAATTAAATAAGCTGTAGCTGTTGAAAAAAATTAATCCAGAACACATTAGAAAGCATTTTTTCCTGCAAATACTTCAGCACTTAGAAAGACATCCTGCATTCACTGTTGAGGAAAGCACAAAACAAGAAGGGGCAAGACCCTGACAGTAAAGGCACTTGGTAAAGGAGGGCTTTCAAATAAAAATAGGGAAAAAGGACAACAGTTAACCTAGCACAAGAAACCATGACTGCAACAATTTTAAAGCCCATTTCATTTTAAGCATGTTTATTTTAAACAGGACCAAACCCACAGCAACAAAGACTCTCCTTAACTGCTACACTTAAAAGCCTCCTGCTACAACAGGTTAAATCCAGCTTCTTCATTGTACATATAGCAACATGACATCAGTCTGCAGTGTGTCATTGCCCAGCTGGAAGGAAGCTGCTTCTCTTCCTACCTGTAGGAGCTGCTTCATTCTAAACTTTTCAAAAAAGGACAAGGCATTTTAGCCAGATCTTCCAACTCCAGAGATTTAATTTCTATTTACACAATACCAAACAAAAATCAGGTGCTGCACAAATTTCTCACATAGGATCAAATCTATCAGCTGGAAGATGCCAACTATCTTGGCATCCGCAAATGCCTTGTGCTAGCACTGTTCCTGACTGCTGTGTAGGAGCACTGATGACGACAGTGTTCAACAACCTGTGCTCCCAAAGGGCACTGGAACAGATCAGATGGCACCTATTTACTGGCACTTGTGACACCAGATGGGACTGTCTACACCAGGGAGCTTAGCACACCACAGATGGTTAGAACCAGAGACCTGAATTATCCATCTATGCCAGGTAATCTCATTACAAATATGCCTCCCCACTGAGGAAGAGCAGAGCAGCAGAGAGATTCTGCAGGGCACTTATCACAGGTACTGACCAGGCATCCTCTCACTCCAGAATTCTTCTTAGTATAGGGACCTGAGCTTAAGAGTATGCTTACATTTTACAACGAGACTATGCTCCTTGCTCTGTGTGTCACATTTTTAGAGTCTGCTACATGCAAAACTCTGCCTTGCAACAAGGAAATGAGAAAGGGGAAAATATTTTAGTAAGTTCTGTACTCAGAGTCCTGCACTTAGAAGGCAAATGGAGAATATGGAAGTTTTCACACCAATAGCTGCAAAATCCTGTGAAAGGCAAAGAAAGTGCACATTTTCAACACAAGGGAACAGAATCAACAGTCTTAAGTTGAAATCACAGACTAAGAGATCTCCCACTCATCTCTTGCCTACTGTTACTATTAAACTGTTCTGCCCACATGTTCATCTAGTAGAGTTCTAAAGATTTCAGACTTAAAGATGAAGTTGAAGGCTTGTGTAAATGTCAAGATTCAGCCATCTTTCCAGGCTGAGCCACACATTTGCAGCTGTGAAATTCTTCTTTGGGAAAGTCTTAATAGCATCCACTATTATATACATAAAGTAGCAGTACTTTCTGCCATTAACAAGTTTGCTGGACAATGCAAACCCAAAACAACCTCTGCCTCTGGGGCAAGAGCAGTTGCTACTGTTTACCAACAATTCATTCTCATGCCATTTTCATCTGCACAAGTATTTTAGACTGTACCCTGTACAGAGCAATATAATGTTTTGTAAGCAGTCCCCAGCTCCATGATCTCAAATGAGGCTGCTCTAACTGCAGCACTGCCTCTGAAGGTAATCAGGAGACGCTGAACTGAGATACACAGAGGGAGGGCCATTGACACTTGGCTGACAGTCGCATTCGTTGCCAGGCGGTGGCAGCACTCGCACACCTGATGCAGCAGTTCAAGCCTGACAGTGGCATTGAAGAGCTATGAAGTTCAATTTTCATTCTTTTCATTCATACTTGGCCTTGTTTGGCCATCTGGTCTATTTGTAATAGGAACTACACAAGAGAACACATTCTTGAAATCCAGGTAACTCAGAAGCTTCAGCCTTAGCAGAGTAGCTATTGCATTATTCTGTTATCAATCCAATACATGTGGATTTCTGCATAATTGATCATTTTATTGGAATCTGTTAAAAGATGTTTGTTCAGTAACCTGTTCAGCAGGGAGTTATGCTGCTTCTATTCATTGCATACATACTGAGCAAGTCTCCAAGCAATACACAAATATTTTGTCTGCCCCCATATATATATGCATCTTACTACAAAAAACAGCTTCTCCTCAATAAAAGTTGCATCCATGGGACCACTGTTCATTTCTTCTGGCTATGACTTGTACCACATTGGTATTAATAATCCAAACATTAAATACAGCAATACATGTAATAAAGCTTTAACACTAAAAAAGTAAGAAAGTTAAATACTGCAACAGCTTAGGTACATACAGCATTTGAATGCTAGAACTTAAAAGTTTATTGACCTAGCTAATGACATAGTCACCAAAACACAACATACAGAAGCAATGTCAACAGCCAGTACTTGTCTAAGCATTTCAGAGTTCCCCTTTTCCCTTCAAATAAAGAAGGGTTGTGCACATCTTCAATGTGAACTTAGGTATCATTAACCTCACAGCAGCATTGATCTTGGTATTTAAAGTTGGGTAAAGAGGCATTAAAACTGCAGGCCACAAAGTATGCAACGTTTGAGTTTGAGGAGCCCATGTTCACTAGAGCACAGATTCCCTGTTCAAACTAAGTGCACCCTATGTAACAGTAGCATTAATTGGCAATATTCATGTTTAGTAAAAAATGCCACATTACTCAATTAACCAAAATAAGCTAATTTTTTTTTTTAAGTGTTGATTTAATTTGCTATGAAGAAGGCTAGGGAGGTATTTTAACTGAAACACCTCAGTAAGTGAAAAAGCTGACCTGTCACTGCTCTCCAGAGCACACGAATCAAGTTACATTCATTCTATCAGTCATCACAGGCTGATACTTCAGCCAGCATTTCAGTTTTTAACCTAAGGGCATGTTAAAATAAATCTGTATACAATGCAACATACCTAAAATAGATGCAATGATGACAAATTAGTTGTCAGTCCCTACTTTTTACAGTTACAAGCCCAACAACTTTAGGCACACAAGTTACAGACAATCTTTTAAGTTCAAATTCAACCATTACAAACCAAAGACCCATTTCAGAGATTGCTCTGCAGGAACATTCTGGACTGTAAGAACATGCACAAAACACCTGTCCAGAAAGACAGAGCTGCTAATAAAGAAGTTGCCAGAAAAAGACATTAAACATACACATGCATGCTAAATAGTTTTTCAACTAGCACACTATTTACAAGCCATACTTAATTTGTAGTTTTTAACTGTACTTACAAAATTAGTTGAAGTGCAAGACATCCAATATGCAATCATTTGCTATAGCCAAAGTGAAAATGAGTGCCAATTACAAAGCCACAAACAGGTTTGTGTGAAGTATTATTGCCCTACAAGTTGTGCAGAAACCCACAGCCAAGAAACTATTAATGCAGAGGTTTAGAAGTTACCATGCATTTGATATGATTAAGCTGTAACAATTTCAGGTATTGATTATGGCTTAGACCTGTATTGAAAGTCAACACTTAGACAACTATCCTGAGGTGAACTGACATTGTCTATATGAAAGTGAGACAACTCTGTTACACTGAAGACTTACTTGAAGTGACCTTCTGCTTAGAATAAACAGTAGACAACATTCACAACTAACCATATCTGCTTGATGAGGATTAACCCTGTAAGAATTCAACAATACTCCTTTGTACTCATCTTTAAGATACTGTGTAGATATTTACAGATATTTATAAACAGGTTTTGTTCCTTGAACAGCCAGATCTTTGACAGTTAATTATTTATCCTCCTTCCATCTCATCCAAGTCTGTCAAATTCAAGACATTGTTCTAGCAGCATTCATGGAATCAATAGTGCAAAATTATTACAAAAACATCTTTTCCCAAGCTGCGACTTCCTCTAAGTTTGTATTAGGTCAATAGTACCTCCCATGTATTTAGAGCTCTGCGGGAAGGCAGGAACAATAGAAATGCTGAAACCAATTTGTTTGCCGAGGGGTTTCTGGGGTTTTACTGTTGTGTGGTTTTTCATTTGCTGCTCATACTGGCCATGTTACAACTTTGGTAAGTAGTTCTTTACAGTACATTCACAGTCCCTCATTTTGACATGCCCCTATAACGTGGGAGTTGAACTGCACTACAATAATTGTCATGTCATCTCTATACATCCGAGCCAGCTCCTCTGGAAGACTAAGCATCTTGGACAATCGCTCGTGATCCACAGTGCCAAACTCATTGTTACCCACTGCATGACGTATCAGGTGAGTTGCGGCATTCTGATCTTCATAGACTGAAGAGATTCTTGCTCTCCTTTCTGTTAGGAGACCATGCATCTGTCCCAGAGTTACCTTATAGCCACCAACAGCTATTGGCTGTTGATGGTGAACACCAGTGAGGTACTCCCCTACAATCCTAGCCACATCTTGCCTGTGCATTGTCTCCCACAACCCATCTGTGGCCAAAACCAGGAACTTGTCCTGTGGTCGCAATCTATGATAGATGACTTCTGGCTCAGCTGTGAGGTATGGGGGAGTGTGATAGTTTGGAGGAATAAACTTTGTATATTCGTTATCATTCAGCTGATCTGGGCCTGATTCTACTACTCTCTTCTGTAGTTCAATACTCCACTTAAACTTCACATCACCAAAAGCTCTGAAAGGCATCAGGAGACCTAAGAGACGATCCTGTTTCACAAGACTTTTCTCTTCAGACTTTGGATGCTCCATTTTCACACGTTCCACTTCCTGTTCATTTTGCGCATTGTGATCATAAGACAGGTTAACTGCAGACCAAGATCCATCTTCCTCCTGAACCCCAAGCATTGCTCTACTATCACCTGTGTTTGCAATGTGCAGGTCAACACCATCCACATGGGCCACACAGGCAGTCGCCCCAGAAAATGCTACTCGCAGTACTAGGTAGTTGAGAAAAGAATTTGGATCTCCTACTTGAGCTTCCAAAGAAATATCATTATCAAGCCTCTTAAAAGCATTAATTAAAGCTTCTTTCACATCAGTAGTCTCTCCACTGTTGAGATCAATGAGTTCCTGCCAGTAAGTTCTTAGACTATTGAAGTAAAGCTTGGAAGCTTCTTTGCTAAAGTAATCATTGGGATGCTTGTGCCACTGTAAAATGGGCAACAGAGCCCTGCCACTTTCCACAGCATTTTCTATTTCAAGTAAAGTCTCATGAGGTAACAGAGAGACAGCAATGTAGTAAAATAGTCTTTCACTGACAGCCTGAGCACAAGCACAACCTGCATGGCCATCAAACACACCCAGAAGCATTCCTCTTGTCTGTAAGCAAGTGGCAGCACTCCTCCGGTCTTCTATCGGAGCATTAGCAGGCAGCTGGTTACTATCGAAGCCAAGGACAGAACTTACATTTTTACCATCAAATTCTGGAACTTTGAAACTGTATTCATTTGCCTTCAGAATGCTGTTGACCTGTGGAGGAGTGAGGTAAAACCTCTGTGGTGTGGAAGCATAATCCCTCATGTGAATGAAGTGACTGAAGTCCTCCTTTGGCCTACAAAGTGCTGCAGATTTCTTCTGAGGTGCATATCTGAAGTGACTGTGAGCAAAATGGGATGATAAACAACACAGATGTTTATGGTGGCAGTAACACACAGTGCTGCATATTCTGCTGATCTCACAGTTACGAATCAATGGAAATAGATGAGCTGGTGCTGGCATGGCATCAGACAACAATGGCAGCCTGGAGCTCTGGACTGGAATTGCTGAAAGACAAGAGAACAACTGTGCTTAGGGGGACAGCTAGCAGATTTTTTTTTTTTTCCCAGAACTCTGTTAAGATGTTTAAAGCCTCTGACAAAGTTGCTTATTACATGGAGCTCATAGCTTCACAGGTCTTGAGAAAAACCATGAAGAGGTGCTTGTTTATAGACACCACGCTGGGCTATAACAAAAAAGCTATACCATACTCAAGTTTGGCAAAGTTTAAGTTTTGGCAAGTTTAGTTCTTATACCCACTCAGCAGGCAGGAAGTGAAAACAGAGACAGCACAGCTTCAAACAAAACTTAAGACAGTTCACACGGAGCACTCCACAGTATTGCCACCTTCTACAATACATGGAGACTTGTTTTCCTGCTGGTTTCCCAGCTGGCAGAGCCAGTTGTGGAACAGAGGAAGACAGTCTTTATAAGCCTGAAGAGAAAATATCTAACAGTAAGAGTCAAGAAACAACTTTGCGAGGACATACAACTGGATTTACAGCGAAGGTGGTTCAAACAATACAAAAGCAAGCAGAAGGCCACAGACAGATATTCTTCAGGCAAACACAAGTCAGTAGCAGGTTTTGTTTCTTCTCCCCCCTTTCACGTGTAAAGCTTCAAACTCACTTCAAACTACAGCAGTCTATGGAGCAACTTTACAGCTTATCAGATAAAAATACAAGAGGTAGAAACCAGATGCATCTCTCCTAGAAGCAGCTGATCTGCCTCAGTAAATTTTAGGATTATAAATTGCTTAAAAAGCTCCTCAATTGAAGGAGTAAATGCAAGCTTTGCTTGCCTCCATGACTAGAATAGAGCCCTGCACAATAGTCTAAAGCTAGTTCAGTGTTAAGATAAACTATTAAGTTTAGGAATGATGAAAAGCATTTTTTTGCCACATTTAAAAAACCTCACCTTATTTTTGATTCCTCTGAAAAATTATTATTCTAACATACTCTTCCTTATTTCCATTTACATACCAAATCACAACACTAGTGTGAGTACCTCTTAAACCCCTTATGAGGAAACCTTGCACCATGTCATACCTGAGAGAACAACCCATAGTGGAAAAAAAGTTGAACTGTGCCTTGTAAAAAGCACACAGATAAAGGGAATTCTGTTTTCTCTCTTAAACTTTTACAATCAATTTTCATCATGAAAGCATCTTCTTAGAGAAAACTCTTTCAAATTAGCTTATATAAAGCTTCCTGCACTCATAAGTATTATCTACCAGCAGCCCTATACCGCAGAATTAATTGTTCTACTGAAAAACTAGACACTGATGTGTTGTGCAAGGTGCTTGAGTCACTAAACTGATATTTTTTTAGCCAAGCAGGCATACCAGTATTACAGATGAGACACCGCTCCTATAAAACACACAGTAAGCCCAAATATTCAATCTAAAGCATCATGCAATGTTGGAGGAATCACATTCTGCAATCATCCTGTTCTGTAAGCTCCCCATAGCTTTTGCCACAGGATTCTGATCACCTGGACCAGCTAAGAGTGTCTGGAAATACATGAAGCTGCACAAGCCCTGTGTCCCAAGAGAAGGAAGCAGGTCATAGTCTTCCCTCCAAGCCTGCCTGTTCTCCTTAAGAATCAGGAGTGGAGCTCCTTTCTCTGTTACAAGATACCCAAGTGGTGAAAGTAAAGCATGTCTGTACCACTCCACGTGAATGTGTATGAATGAGTGACACATTGACACGAATTCTTTTCTACTGACCTCTCCCAGGTCTCCCAATGGCAGCTATGAAGACTGAACTGGCCAGTTTTCTGCTGTTCAGCTACCAGGAACAGCACTGGTTGTAGCCTTGTGGACCACAGCCAGCTGTCTAGACAGTCAACAGTAGTATACTGGCTTGAAATTCCAGGTGCATAATAAATTTGTTAGCCCTTTGCTTCCCAGAGAGTCTGTTTCCCCAGCTCAGGCTTCCCATGCATACAGCATGGCAGAAATAAATTGCAACTCCAAATACATGTTCTTAAATGTATTCACTGCCTTCTAATTATAAGGGACCTACTTGGTAACAGTTACATGTATGTCTTCACATTACATTTAAAAACAACAGTTTTGCTTACAGAACAGTAACCTCAGGATTCTACGGATATGCCTGGTCTACAGCAGCACCTTAGACTTGGCACTGGTCTCCCATCAGACTCCAACTGAATCAGGCTCTCCTAAATGCTAAGCACTTGTGTTCAGTGCTGACCTGTACATGGTGCCACAACTGTTCTAACAGTTTTGCTGTTGATCCATGATGAAGCAAAATGTACTAATGTTACAGTGGTTCTGCAGTGCCACCAGGGGATGTTTTGCTGTTTCTTTATCATTTGGTTATCAAATATTACATGAAATCCAAACAGAACTAGCACAAAGTCAGCCTCAAATTTTCCACAGCCTGTATCATTTGTAGTCCATCCACACCATCTTAAGATACCAGTCTGTTTCACATACCAGCTTTAATAAATCCTAGTTGACTAAGCAAGTGAGAAATTCCACGTTCGCCAGCCTGAACTGAAATTATCTTAAGTCTCTCCCACTATTCTCACAACATGCATGCCCCAAATACAACCAACTAGCCACTTAGATAATGATTTTGAGATTATGGTTGATCAAGACATGGCAGAGAAGGAAAATAGATCAACTAAAAATTTTACAATCCAATCAAGACTTGTCAAGTGATTAGAATCAAGTCAGTATTAAATACCCCTCTAAGCCCAGAACAGGTTAAAACCACTACTTTTCAGTATACAAATACAATATGACCAATAATGAGTCAGGCAGTAAGTTTTGTGTTTTGTAGTACTACATTGATAAAATAGAAAAAAATTGCCCCTTGCTTTAATAAGGGCTTGTCATAACTGTATTATTAAGGCCAAATGATGCTGCATGGGCAGGCTGCTCCAAAACACCCACTTTAACTGTGCCAGACACCCACAGTTGCAGACAAAGCCACTTACCCCAGGTGCCTTTCAGACACTTGACTGAATGAATTAGCCTGCTTGGAAGAACGGAGAGGATGAAGAACATACATTAAACACAGAGCAAATCCTTCTCTCCGGCCAGGTCTGCACTCGGACACAGCCCAGCCTAGCAGCCCCTTCCCC